TCTTCTTGAGCTGGGACATCCATCTTCTCTTGCTCTTAGACACTGGAGCTCCTTATTCTTGGGCCTTCAGACTCTGAGATTTACACCAGTGACTGTCCCCCTCCGATCTTTGGCCTTGGACTGAATTACAGCACTAATTTGACTTGGCTCTCCAGAAAGAAAGTGCTATCTAAATAGCATAAAAGGGGACTTCTCAGCCTTCATAATCATGTGAGCCAATTATTATAAATTTTCATATAAATTCTGTTAGTGCTGTTGCTCTGGAGAACTCTGACTAATACAGTACTCAATAAATTTATGTTAAATAAGTGAATGAATACATGAAATAAATACAGTCTAGCTCTATCCTCAAGATAATTACAAAATTCTAATTGGTCCAGATATGTGTGTTTCTTTACAACAACAAAAAATGAAATATTAAAAATGAACATTAACAGTTTAGATGGTATTTCCTGGAGAAATTCTGAAGAATTCATGCAGAGAAACAATAAAGGCTTCCAGATATCACCACAAATGAAATCACTACCTCCCTGACTCTGGAAGTGATCCCACAGAGTGTGCACTCCTCTGTGGCCTCCATAATACGCTACGGACTTGGAAGCCCCTGTTGTGGCGTGAATATGACAGTTATGGCTGAGGGATGTTTAAAGTTTGATTCAGGCTGTTAAGAGGAAGGAAGAAACAATAAAATGTTGCTGTCCCAGGGCGGCATAAGTGGCAGTGGAGAATGAGAGAAAGTGAAATAATTGTTACCCATAAAAACTTAATCTTTCTTAGTTTGGTGACAAACTTATACTTCTAATAAGATTTCCAGTAAAATTGTCATATTGCCAATTCCCACTTTCTGCTTTTCTAAGAAGAATGAGCCTACAGCCACCACAGGTAGGTAGAGCAAAGCATCCAGAATTGTATTCAATTAGCCTTTCCCAAACTTGATTATTTCTTTTTTTATGTTTACTTGTCATTTGTCACAAGTAAAAGTCAGCTTTGACATACTATCCATTATATATGTTAGAGTCCAGTTTCTTACAAAGGAAATTGGTCAGTGTGTTGTTGACTCGCTGTATCTGTGGGAGAAAGGAGTTTCCAGAACTTCCTGATCCACCACTTAGCTGATATCCAACATTATTTTTTAAATAATAATAATGATGTCACTAATTGTGTGACCTCGTAATGTGAGAAGCATATACTTATTTTCACCCAGGACTGTTGTGGCTGTGAATTAGTATTCTCTGTTTGTAAAGAACAGAAATGAACTCTGACTAACCATCAGGAAAAGCAAGAACAAAGCAGCTCTTCAGATTTAGATTTTGTGAATTAGTAAACAATCTTTTTAAGGCAGAGTCCTTGTGGGAGAATCATTGGTTCCAATTGTGCTTTGCACAACATCAAAATACAAGGGGAATTTCACCCTCTAGCTTAGGTCATATTTCCTTCTTAATTGACAGTTTAACAAATTCTTAGACACTTTTACTAAGATTGCTTATAATGGAAGAGGTAATTCTAAAAAAAAAAAAGAAGTAAAGTACTTTTAGCAAAAAGAAGAGAAATTCTTTGGGCAAAAATACCAGATGCCCATTAAACATCTTATATGATCTTTTTTAAGTTTGTGACTAGTGACATCTTCACTTGATTCTTTCCAAACTTGTTTACCTTTTTTACGCCAAAATATTTGTTGTATTTTAGTAGCCAATAGAAAAAATTTATTAATATTATATTTGAGAATCTTGTTAATAGGAACTCAACTTGTACTTTCCATCCCTTAACTCTTTCCACTTTGACTTTCCTCTTCACCAGTGCACTCCTGCCATTATCCATCCTGGTCACATTGGCTTATTCTAAATTTTCCAAATGTATAATTCACTCATAGAACTTTATACATGCTTTCCATTTGCCTGGAATGCATTTACATCTCTGTCTGTCTCTTTCTCTGTCTCTTTCTCTCTGTCTCTCTTTCTTTCTCTCCTTCCCTCTCTTTTCCCCACCCCAACACTTCTCCCAATTCAATAGTTTAGAAGATTATCATCTTAAGGAAGAAGGAAATGAGAGAAGTAAAGTTATCTGACAAACACCCTGACATAGATGCTTAAGGGCCCACCACAACATTCTGTGTAAGCTTTTTCCAGCTTGTATGCTATCATCTCAGTAATAGAAAATTTACTGCTGCGTGACGCAGCTCATTTGATATTGTGATAAATTTGACTCTTGGAAACCTCTGAAAAGACAAGCCTGGAAATACACAACTCATTCTTTAAGGTCTACCTCATATGTTAATTCTTCAATGAAACCTTTTCTGATACCCAGAATAAAAGTAATCACCCATATTTGCTCCCAAAATATATGTTCATTTTAATATTATTATACTATTATATTAATATTACATTATACTAATGTCTATTAGTATTTGTTCATACTAATATTATTCCACATATTCCACCACCATTGTAATTACTTTTGCTTGCCTTTACTTCCAAGCCTGATTTTGATTTTCCTATAGATAGGTACTGCGTATTAACCTTTGCTTTCCAATACAAACCAGTGCAACCAGCCCCACCCTTATACCAAGGGACAATTGTAAACTATCTGATTCATTTCCCTATGAGAGGAAAACAATAATCTTTTTGGCTAATGATGTTATCTCCTAAGAGCTTCTTAAAGTTTGAGTTATACAAAGTCAGGGGTACTAACACCTCTAACATATTGCATTAGTTATTTGCAAGACATCATCAGTGCTAATACATATATATATATATATATATATATTTTAGATTTTTAATGTTAACATTTTTTATTCACTGGTGTATAGTAACAAAAGTAGAGTATATGCATCTGCTTAAATATAGGCCTTTACACTGATATTACTCTAAAATTCAAATTTCTTTCCTTGACCACTACTACTATTTCTTCTGTCTTCCTCCAACATATTGCTATTATTACTTTTTCAACACATGTTGAGTAAATAAAATAGCAGTAGAGATTTTGGATGACATTTTAAAAAGGCAAAGGAAAACTTACTAATAACAATAATTATAATTATTAAAGTCAACAACTACCTTTCATATTTTCTTTGAAAAAGTGACGTAAAAATGTTCTTACAGAATCAAACAGATAAGAAAAGCATTGTTGGAGTGGACATTAGGGAGTGCACAGGATAGCTTAAGAAAACTTGAAAAATGTGAAAAACACAAGTATAGCAGGAAATATGGGCTCCTAAACTCACTTATCCCTGTGGAATAAAATGCTTGCCCTAACTTTTTTCTTAAACAATCCTCAAATAGACTTCCTCTAAAACCGTCTTTCTCCAGGATCACTATGTACCTACCCTTTCTGTGACTAACTGGGAGGATTGTTTATTTCCTCTGTCCCTACTACTCAGCGTGAAAGAATAAGAGTACACACAGACTATTCAACCAGAAACCATAAGTTCATAAATGTAAGGATGTAGCTACACATTAATAAGATTGATTTTCCCGAGGGACATTAAGAAAACAACTTATTAGTACATAGTCCCAACTCATGTATATGTATTTATTTATCTCTATTTTTATCATAAGAATAATAAATCTTAAAGGTGAACAAAGTCAACCAGTACAAATATATCATAGAGATAGTGATCATTAATATTGATAATGATCTCTGAAAACTGCATTCTGTGTTGTCTTAGTGATAACTCAGAATCTTTGAGAAACATTTACAACATGTTACTGTGTAATAAGGCAGAGAAACATACAGCAAATATATGCTAATACCTATGTTCTGATACCTAGAAAAGTTGCATGTCTGTGTGTGTATGTGTGTGTAGATTTGTTTCCTGAAATTGCCAGATAAATGAGTCATTCATCAAGCAGGAAATAATAGTCAAATAATCAAGAATGTGTATTTTTACATGAATTTACCATATGAAGATAATACCCAATCTTGGTGAGGATAATATGAAATAGACATATTCACATTTTTTTAAATGAGAATATGAAAGGGTTACCCAGAAATTGTAGTATAAAAATTAATTCTAAGAAACTAATTTATCTTAACAGATTTACCCCAAGAAAATGCTCAAACACTTATGTATAACCATTTCATTTAGTATTATTTTTATTAGCAAAAATTTGAAACTTGTTAAACTTCAAAAATTGGGCTGATTAAAAAACTATAGCTAATTCATTTAATAAAGAACTAGAAATTCATTAAAAATTATAATGCCATAACTTTATAATCATGGAAAATATGAAATTTAAAAAACACAACTACTTTTGTGCTTTTTTATGTTTCTTTATTTTTCTGCATTTGCTAATTTTTATTTACAAATCATATATCAAAATGAGCTATTATCAATCAAAAGTATTGAGAATGTTTTTTGCTCATACGGTTTCTCAACATCTTGTCCATTCCCTTGAGTACTATGTTGAACATATGTTGCAACAGCAAAGAGAAACAGACATATAAGAGATTTTTGTAACTTGTATACAAGGTTTAGTAGATTGGGCTCCCAGAAGGAGGAAATCCAGGAGGCAATATTCCTGTTGTAGTCAATGTGAAAAATTCCCATTGAGTTTACACAGTGTACAATTCTGCATGGCTAGATGAGGAAGCCTTGGTAGGAGGCCAAAAAATGATGAAAAAGAGATGGATCTGGGGGATTTCTTACTATTAGTATCAAATGGGATGGGTGTTATTCCAAGTCAGAGTTCAGTAAACTATGACCTATAGGCCATAAATAAAGGTTGTTCTGGAACACAGCCATGCTCACTTGTTTACCTGTTATCTATCGCTAATTTTATACTAACAAAAGAGCTGAGTATTTGTGAGGATATAGCCCACAAAGTCGAAAATCTTTACTATGCAACTCTATACAGGAAATGTTTTCCAAACCCTGCCTGAAATACACTGCAATTGTGAAAACAAATCAAATAATAAAACCAAAGAAGTAAATAAAAAACCTCAGAGTATACAGTGGATACTACTATTGCCCATAAATATTTTCAATTCTCTTTTCCTTTCAGGCGTTTTGGAGGATTGCTTTTGTTTTGACTTCTTGAACTTTAAGCAATCCCATAGATCTTGCTTTGGAAATACAACGTGAGTAGAGGTTTCATGAATCACTTCCTGGTTGAAGTGTTAAAGTGAATATATGTGACTTTTCGTGCTGTCCCTTATCTTGCTGTTGTGGTTATTGAAGCTCTGATGATATGGAAGTGTAACCTGCGACATTGACCTCCACCATGTAGGCCAGTTGTCCTGGAGAACTGCCTAAACCCAGCAGAAATTATGTGAAAGAGAAATAAATTGTAAATGCATTAAGTACTGAGATTTGGGGCCTGTTTATCACCACAATATTTACCCACCCTATCATGTCTGACAAAGAGAAGAACTTTTTTTAGAATGTGCTAACAGCTAGTAGATTCACAGTAAAAAAAAAAAAAAAGCATAATAAGGTAAAAAATCAACAGAAAACATGATACTTATAGAATTCCTCAAAAGAATTATGTAGGGCTGCTATCTTAAATAGAATTTTAATAACTAGAAAAGAATATTTATTCTTACTAATATGCCCATATCTACATATTTTAAGTGGTAAATCACTATAGAATTTCAACAGTTTGTCAAAAAAATCAGTTATAGGAAGAAAAATTTAGTTAATGGAATCTGAAATAAAAATGTGATATAATACAGTTTAAATTATTAGCAATATATTACTACCTCAGTTTTTTAAAAAGTTATGTTTCATAAACCTACAATTTTTTTTTTAAGCATTATCATCTGTGATACAATGAAATAGTGAATTGACTGGAGCCAGTAAAATAATAAGTCTATTATTTTAACATTGTTACAGATACAAACATAACACACTATGTTTCCCTCTATGTTTGTTTGCCTTTTTAAGTTGTAGCACAACAGAATATGAGCTTTAAAACTGAAGCCTGAATTTGATGGAACATTCTGTTTTCAAAAGAAAATTAAAAACTAAAATACCTAGATTTTGTTTCCCTCCTGAACTGGGGATGTCAGAGCTGGGTTAAATAAAGCTCACAGGCTTGGTCTTTACATGGCAGTCATTAATTTTTCATGAGGCTGAAATTGAGATAGTATGGAAGATTTCCCCATTGTGTCACACTGAATGTTTGAATTTGGTTTGGCCAACTTTCTCCAGAACATAACTTTTTTTTCCTTGCCCTAAACCCTAAAGCACCATTTGTGAATCTGGCAAATTTCTGAACCACTTAAATTCAGGATTCATAGTTTATTATATCAACTAAGTTTCTAGACTTTCTTGGATAAATCAAAGTAGTCAGCTTTGACAAATTGGAAAAAACTATCTAACACTTAATAACCTTAAGGAAATTCTGCTATTCTATTTATCCCTGTTAAAGAAGAGAACGGTATGCTTTCCATTTAGAAATTATTAAAACTATAGCTATGTTTTTAAAAAATCATAAAGAAGAAACCGTTATATATGCATACATATATAAACAGATACACAGAATCTACAGATGATAATTGGGAATTATTTTATAATGACTTTATACCAATTATATCTTAAATAAAAGAAGAAACATAGATAAGGAAAATAAATTTGGGCAGAACACACTTCAAAAGAAATAACTTCATCATAAAATTTCAATCATATCTTCATTATTATTCTCCCTGTACTGTTGTAGCACATATTTTTAAATTGAGTCACAAAGGATTTTTTTTTCAGGCTTAAATTGCTAAAACTATTTGGAGCATGAAAGAAAAGATCAAAAGGGCCAACTGGGAACAAAACATAGTGATCAGAATTGAAGATAAGCCACAACACATAATAATCCTAATTACCAATCTTTAATTAAACTACAGGGAGAATTTATGTCCCAAATAAACTTTCTCACAGCTTTTCTGGACTTCAAGATTGAACGTTTTGATATGTATAAATAACAACAGGCAAAGAGGAAGCTTATTATTTAGTTTCTTATGATATACAGAAATTTAAACTTAGGAATAGCGTATGTTAAATGCAAAGTTCAAAACAAAATATGATATTCAAGGGTGTTGTTGGAAAATATTTGAAATTAACAAGCCAATTAATTCTGACAAAATTGACAAATTTATGAATGCCCAACTGATGAATTAAAGAACAGAATATATTGGCAGTGCTTTATTGAATTCATTTAGAAATAATCTACTGCTGCAAAGTAGATTTCTCTGGAGAAAAACCAGCAAAGCCAAATGGGTTTTATGTGGTTGGATATGTTATTAATGTAAGTTAGCTTCAACTCGAAAGAGTAGGCCTATTCAAAGTATATTGAATAAATTTCATGTTTCTCATTTTCCTGGCTATTGGACTGAGTTTTGCTTTTTTCTGACCCTAGTTTTGCTCTCTTCTTGGAGAGCATTAGTCAAGGAGGTAATTGCATTGAGTCTAACTTTTCCCAGTAAGGAAGATCTAATGTTAATTTTCATGTGTGTTAAATCTAATCAACATTGCACAGTGTTATAGTTCTCCCAGTAACTGAACATTTCTTCTAAAACAGTTTGTGTGTGAGTGTGTGTGTGCCTAATTATTTATTGCACTTTTTAGTTTGAGTTTTTTTCCCTTTGCTTGAATTTTTCAGAAATTTCTAGAGAAGTAACATACTGTGGTATAATATCTGACAGTTCTTTGCTAGGAACTTACTTCACTCTCACAAATGGAACCCCTGTGGCTGTGTTTACACACTGTGATCCTAGCTGTTTCTCCCAGTGTTGGAATGTTGGTCTGATATATGGAATAGTGAGTAGCATTAGAAGGATAGCCTTAGCAATAGTAGAGCTTTTAAGGTGGGGTAGTTAAACCCTGCCATTGAGATTAGGAGGTTTTCTTGGTAGAAAACTTGGAAGAAAATTTTTTCTCTTGGATTGGATTCTGTGAGACATGATGGCCTAATGTTTCATATAAAATAGTTGTAATTTATTGTTTTCTTGTTTTCCTTAAGTCAATCCGCATTAGTGACTATTCTCTCAAAAATTCTAATACCCAAGTAATACCAAAGCATTGGCATGGCAATCCAGCATAAATATCATCAGTGCTGACATTATCTTTCATTTCAAAACATAGAAAGATATACATATTGTTTTTGATGGCTTTTTCTGAACAGAGCCTTCTTACCAATGCCCCAACCTATCAAGCTATTTTAAGTAATGCAGTCTTGAGTGAACAACACATATTTTAATGAGAATATTACAAGTACCATAGGTAAATTCTAGTAACAGTTAATGGCATTCCTTGTCATTGTGGTGATATTGTTCTCTATGTGACTATAGGAAATTGGTTAAAATTGTGTGAAGCTGCTAGTGAACTCATTCAGTCTGACAATATGTTTAAGTAGCTATCTCTTTTAGTATAGAGAAAATATCTGGAAAAGCAATCTTTCATTTTAATTCTGAGAACTTGGTAACCTTCTGTGTCCTGGTTCAATTTTTAAAACTTTGATTCAAACCAGGTTACTGTATGTCATTCTTCCCTGTTTTTTTTTAACATTAAAAACAAAGAACTGAACCTTGTTCTCCTAAAAAACATTAACTCATAGGATACAACAGTCTTGAAAATGACAGTTTGAGAGGAATAAGGCCTATGACAAGTGAATTCTGGGAACATAAAGTGCTTAAAACCCCAAATATAGATTCAATATGACAAGATTGACCTCCAGTAAAGGAAAAGTAAAATCTGCTTCTGGTCCTGAAATGCGTTATGCATTTTCTCCGGCGAGAATTATGTTATCCTTTATTATCAGGAAACTTTCTGCATTTTTTTCCCCAAAGCTTAATAAGATCATGTTAAGTATGTGAAACAAAGATTATTTATATAAATATTGCTTTTAATGATGACATGAATTGTTTTGAAATAAAATTGCACAGTTAAGAAGATCAAAGCAGCCACTGTTCACTCTAGTTTCATGTCTCTTTCTCATTCCTTCTTAGCATATCCATTGGTGGTTGGTTCCCACACTCTTTAGGGAGAGTGGTTAGACGCCAGCAACCACTTCTCAGTTACCTTGTTAATGTTTATTTGAGAATACTTTCTAATGAATATTTTTAATAATGAATAAAAAATTAGAAATTATTTATTTGGTTGCAAGAAGGAGATCTTTTTGGAATGATGCCAGGAGGGGAGACACATTAATTTTAATGATTGTCCACACAGGACTTTACTATCAGTTTTAAAGACTTGAAAGAAAACTGGCAAACTAGGCTGTGTCTCAGACTTTGAGGGAATTACCAGAAAATGAGAAAAGCCACACAAAGAAGGCAATTTAATCAAAAGAGAAAATAAGTATGAAAAAATGAAGAGGAGTAGATTTAGTTTCTTTAAGTTTTTGATCTCCAAAGTTACTTGATAGAGGGAATGAGGCACGATCATGGGTTTCAACAGCTCAAGCCAAATACAAATATTTTAATAAATTATTTCCCTTATATTATGTTGGGTTGAATATGCTTTACATACAGCTCATTTTTTGTGAGACTAATGACTTTTTTGAAAGGCTTTAAGTAAGGGAAATATTGTTTAATAATAGAAAAAAGCAATTCTTGGGGAAAATTAATGAGGATAATGTGAAGATGACAAAAATAGTGATAATCCTCCTTCTATAGTCTTTGGAAACTATACCTCACATATGTTGAGGGTTCTAACTATTAAAATATGGCCTGAATATTAAAACTGATAATAAAACTGTGTCTGAACTTGTAGTTGGAAGGTAATAAAGTGCCATTTTTAAACACTTAACTTTGGAAGTTTGGACAAAATGAAGACAACTCAAGAAAATATTGTTACTATTACTACAACTGCTACTAAATGTTTTATAGCAAATAAAACAGGAAAATAAAATAATTGTTTAAATGTATTGAGGAACATAGAAAAAGAGATAAATATAGATATTAGTTCAATAAAGACATCTTCAGCAGAGGAACAGCAATAACAAAACACAGACAGTTTTAAATAAAATGAAATATTGCTTGCCAAGGTTGCAGAAAAACAATATCTGATAGGAGCATACATATGAGTATGTTATTGGTAAGAAAATTATGTGTAAAAATATAAGTATATATATGTACATATACAAACACAAGGATACAATTGTAATATATATACATATTACAATTTTATCGATATGCCTTAGATAGCAGTGGTAAAAAGATCACCTGATTACATGATTACATATTCATTGGAAAATTGTTTTTCCATAAATACCTTCTTAAACTTTTGGTCTCTAGTTGAATATGTTCTAAAAGAGACATTATACTCGGTACTGTAATGCCATTTTGACTTGAAGAATCAAAGAAGTTGTACCTTTCTTTGTAAATAGCCATTATATCTAATTATTTTTCTAGTATTCATATTATTGCTAATTTAGAACCATTAATATCAATATGAATAAAAATATTAAATAAAAATACTTTGAATTTCAATTATGCAATTTAAAAAATATTCCATATTTAAAACGTTATTGACAGCAATTTATTGGCTATTTTCTGGAAAGACCATTCATTGAGAAGGGCAGAAAGAAAGGATAGCTACACAATTTACCCAAGAGGTATTTATCACCATTGGGTAACATCAAAATTGGTGATTATGTAAATTGGAAACCTTGGTTTTTATTCAGTGGAACTGTATTAAATTTTCATTGATACAAGAGAAAAGTGAGAGTTTAATTTTATACAGTCTTTCAAATTCAATTTATGATCACATAAATGTGCTTTTTTATATTAACTTTCTCATAAAGAGCACAATTTTCACTCAGAGGAAAGAAAAGTAGTTCAGTGAACAAATTCAAGAGGCTTTATATCTGGCTTCAATTATGGGAAAATAAATCTAGAAGTACTGACTGTGTTGATTAAATTCTTATAACTTTACAAGATTAGAGCAAGAGTCTTTGAAAATAAGAAGTCCTGATTGATAATAATTTTGAAAATATTATTGTTAAAAACAAGGTCATTCATGTGTATGATTAATGGTAGAAAGAGTTTGAAATTCACCTCCAGTTTCTCAGTGAAGTATGGTAGACAGCCATAAAGTTTGTTCATAATATTTGCAAGTAAATTTTTAAAAATTTAGACTTGATACATAGTCTAAAATAATATATTATCAATCTTATGCTTAATCTCATGCCATTCAATGAAAACAACACTTTGAACTACACTGGAAAAATTTTAGAACCATATTGTTGAATAAATCGTTGGAATAGAAAATGTCCTATATCTACTATTGCTTGCTTTTTTACTGCACCCTGCCCCATACCACTGTTGATATTCATTCATTTATCTCTGTGCCTAATTTTCCCCAAGAATATCGGCATTGTCTGCTTTTCACTCCACATATATTCTCTTTCTGGATATTTTCCTGGTTTCATATTTGGTGTTGATAGCCATTTGTACACACAAAAAATATTGATTACTAACTCTTTTTGAGTTTTTACCTATAATTTTCTAACTTTCATCTAGGACTCTTACCCATTTTCCTATGATTCATCATGTAGGGCATGCTGGTCAGTATTTAAAAACTCACTCATAAAAATAACAAATAAAAAATAAACTCACTCATTAGAAGGAAAAGAAAAACACCCTTATTTGCAACACTTGCTTATTTTTATTGTAGGATATTCTCACCATGGATGATGCAACTAGCTCATAAAATGCCTAGAAATATACAAACGACTCATTTGAGCTGGTACTAGCTAGCTCCAGCACACCACTCTATTACACTAATTTTAAAGAGAAAACGTATCTTTTCTGAGAATTTTTCAAGAAACTTCAAAAAGTGAAGAACACTTTCTGGCTCCAGAATGCAGAGAGCCTGTAAGGGGTGTCCCTTTGACCAGTACAGCAAAAAAGGAATGAGATAAACTTCAGATTCGTAATTTTTTTTTTATATCCCACTAGACCTAAGTTTGCAGAGCCACGAACTGGCCCACAGTATAAGGAAAGACAGGAGTCTGAAGGGAAAAAGGACATGTTCACTCTTCTACTTGAGGGAAACACTGATGAACTTAGGTACAAAGAGCACTGCTAGAGTGCGTGATGAACTTTTAGAGATTGAACGTGGGATGGAGAGTGTAGAGTCTGTGATGACCACTAAAATTGGGGAAAATCTCCACACTCTGGCAAGCTCTCTGTGAACTTCTTTTTTTTTTTGAGACGGAGTTTCGCTCTTGCTACCCAGGCTGGAGTGCAATGGCACGATCTCGGCTCACCGCAACCTCCGCCTCCTAGGTTCAGGCAATTCTCCTGCCTCAGCCTCCTGAGTAGCTGGGATTACAGGCACGCACCACCGTGCCCAGCTAATTTTTTGTATTTTTAGTAGAGACGAGGTTTCACCTTGTTGACCAGGATGGTCTCGATCTCTCGACCTCGTGATCCACCCATCTCGGCCTCCCAAAGTGCTGGGATTACAGGCTTGAGCCACCGCGCCCGGCCGCTCTCTGTGAACTCTTACAGGAACTTACGGAAAAGAATGGGAAGATTCCTGAGAAGATATTTTTGGTAGTATAGACGTGAAAAGGTGAACATCAGTGATGTGGGAATGTCAAAAAACTTTATCTGGACTCTTCTCTTCTGTCTATCATATGAAATAAATGTCTTAATCTTTGAGGTAGAGGGCATAACACTGCCACCTTTAGGGAACAAGTATAAACTAATTGCGACTGGAGGAAGGAAACAGGAGGAAAAAAAAATACCCCTGGGAGAAGAGCAGGAGCAGGATTATGCACTGGGATCAACAAATGAAGTCTAGGAACAAGCGAACTGTGAATGCTACATTCCCAAGACCAGCACATCACATCTGCCTAGAATCAGCCTTAGGCAGTCCACAGATAGCATTCGCCAGCCCCGTGGAGAGATGTGCGAGGAAAATCATTGTCAAATTTTTATTTGAGAATGAAAGCAGGAAAGAGTAAATGTTCTAAAGCTCTCATATCATTGAGATGTCAGTGGCAAACAGTGGTAAAAAAGATCTATTTGGTATGATAAAAAAGTGAATTCTAAAAGTAATTAGAGAAAATTCAATCAAATAAAAATGATGAAAAGGAAGTATGAAGATCAACAATATAAATATAAGCAATATAAAATATAAGAATGTTGTAGTAAATAGAATATAAATCAAAAAATGAATCTCTGAATGAGAATGAGCTGAAGTCTTACATAAGAAGACACTATCAGATTAGGTTAAGAATGTAAATCAGCCATAGTCTTTCAATAAGCAATACAGCTAAGTCAGAATGAGAGGTTAAGAATAAAAAAATTGGGGCCTGGCTTGGTGACTTATGCTTATAATCCCAGCACTTTGAGAGGCTGAGACAGATTGCTTGAGCCCAGGAGTTCAAGACCAGCCAGGGAAACATAGCAAGACGCTATTTCTACAAAAAGTATAAAAATTAGCCAAGTGTGGCAGTGCATGATTGTGATCCCAGCTATTTATGAGGCTGAGGTGAGAAGTCAATGCTACAGTGAGCCGTGATTCTGCCACTGCACTCCAGCCTGGGTAACAGAGCAAGATCCTGTCTCCAAAAAAAAAAAAAAAACTAGAGAATTGGTATGCCTAAATGTATATCATACAAATGACAACACAAACAAAACATTGTTAGTATTAAAAAGCAAGAAATTTCAGATTCAAATCTAAATAAAACTAGAGCAGGAGAATACCAAAAGTATTGTATTAGTACATTTTCACACTGCTATAAAGAATACCTGAGACTGGGTAATTTATAAACCAAAGAGGTTTAATTGACTCACAGTTCCACATGCTAGGGAGGCCTCAGGAATCTCATGATCAGGGTAGAAGGGGAAGCAAGGCACATCTTACATGACAGCAGGTGAGAGAGGATGAAGAGGAAACTGCCATATACTTTTAAAGCATCAGAACTCGTGAGAACTCACTCACTATTATGAGCATATGATGGGAAAAACTGCCCTCATGATCCAATCACCTCCCACCAGGTACTGCCCTTGACACATGGGGATTACAATTTGAGATGATATTTGGATGTGGACACAGGTCTAAACTATATTATTCTTCCCCTGGTCCCTCACAAATCTCATGTCTGTTTTACATTTCAAAGCCAATCATGCTTTCCCAACAATCTCCCAAAGTCTTATTTCAGCATTAACTCAAAAGTCTACAGTCTAAAGACTCATCTGAGATCAAGCAAGTCTCTACTGCCTATAAGCCTGTAAAATCAAAAACAAGTTAGTTACTTCTAAAATACAGTGGCAATATAGACATTGGGCAAATATTCCCATTCCAAATGGGAAAAATTGGCCAAAACAAAAGGGGCTACAGGCCCCATGCAAGTCTGAAACCCAGAAGAGCATACATTAAATCTTAAAGCTCCAGAATGATCTCCTTAACTCCATTTCTCACAACCAAGGCATGTCGATGGAAGCGGTGGGCTCCCATGGCCTTGGGGAGCTTCACTTCTGTGGCTCTGCAGGGTACAGAGCTTTGGGTGCTTTCACAGGCTGGCATTGAGTGTGTGCAGCTTTTCCAGGTTCATGGTGCAAGCTGTCAGTGGATCTAACACTCCAGTGCCTGAAGGAAAGTGGCCTTCTTTTCACAACTCCACTAGGCAGTGCCTCAGAGGGGACTCTGTGTGGGGGCTCTAAGCCCACATTTTCCTTCCACACTGCCCTAGCAGAAAGTTTCCATTAGGGCTCTGCCCCTGCAGCTGAATTCTGTCTGGACACCTGGTGTTTCCCAATATCCACTGAAATCTAGGCAGAAGCTTCCAAAGTACAAGACCTGTCTTCTGTGTATCTGCAGGCACAACACCTAATGGAAGCCACCAAGGCTTGGGGCTTTCACCCTTTGAAACAACAGCCCAAGCTGTACCTTGGAACCTTTTAGCCACAGCTGGAACTGGAGTGGCTGGGGCACAGGGCACCAAGTCCCAAGGCTGCACAGAGCAGCAGCACCCTGGACCGGGACTGTAAAACCATTTTTCTCTCCTAGGCCTCTGGGCCTGTGATGGGAAGGATTGCCATCAAGATCTCTGACATTCTCTGGAGACATTTTCCCTATTGTCTTGGTGATTAACATTCAGCTCCTCATTACTTATGCAAATTTCTGCAGCAGGCTTGACTTCTCCTCAGAAAATGGGTTTTTCTTTTCTGCCCATTGGGTCAGGCTGAAAATTTTCCCAACTTTTTTGCCCTGTCACATCTTGAATGCTTGGCTGCTAAGAAATTTCTTCTGGCACATAGTTCAAAGTTCCACAGATTTCGAAGGCAGGGGCAAAATGCCTCCAGTCTCTTTGCTAAGGCACAGCAAAAGTGACCTTTGCTCCAGTTCCCAGTTAAGTTTCTCCTCT